TGTATCCTTTAATCTTATTAATTTAACATAATGAACGTTGATATTTCATAAAAAAAAAAAAATTGTACTCATGTGAATTTTACCGTCTTTACGAAAATTTCTATTCATTTAACGTTTCTTAAGTTTAGCTTATCACACAGGTAGGTGAAAATATATTTGATCTCTTTTTCAAACACCGTTAAGTTGTAAAAAAATGGAAAAAGCCCGAAAGAACCGACTAAAACCGAAACTGAAAAAACTGACTTTGCGTGGTTTGATTTGAGACTAAAACCGAAACCGAAAAAACTGACTTTGCGTGGTTTGATTTGATATTTAGATTTAATAAACCGACATAATTGGTTTAGGTTTTTTTTAATGAAAAACCAAACCAAACCGACCTATGTACACCCCTACTTCTAAGTCATCAAGAATCGTGGTTGAGTTCAAAGGTTAGTTTTTTCTTGATTTTATTTTGTTAGCTTTTCGAAGAAAGGAGCAATTTAACTTATGATAATGGAGGTTTTTTTTCCAAACATGAAGAACAATAATAAAGAAGAAGACAATTGAGTTAATATTTATTTTTTCCAAGTTTATTTTAACACATGACCAATTTTTATTGGTCAGTGCTGTCTTAAAGCTGCACCCACGCGCCTAACATAGGTGAAATCACGGACTCAGCCACGTAGGCCGAAAAGTGGTAAACAATTAACTAAAAAATAAGTTCTGGGGGGTAATAGGACCTTAGTAAAGGTTAGGTGTGTCTCAGGGATTTTGGGCATAGGCTGGGGGGGGGTACTTATGCATTTTCCCATAAGAAAATTTTCACATCTAGTTTTTTTGTGTAAAAAGTTTCTGGGTTTTTGCACAAAATCCAATTTTTTAATGTATGTTCATAGATCTTTCTTCTCTCTCAGAAAAATCCTCTCTAGATTTTCTTCAAAATCAGTAATAGTAAATCGAGGACTAGTTTTTCAATTGAATGACTAAAATCTTTGCAAATAAATATCGCAAGTTTTCACAATTCTCCTTTTTGAGCTTGAATGAAATTTGTATATTGTGATAATTTTTTTGTGGTGGGTTTGGTGATGGGTGAAAAATTTGTGGTGGTATTACTTTTAATTTCGATAATGACAATGAAACTCGTGATTTTGATGTGGACGGTGAATTTATGGTTATGGTTGTGATGAATTTCTATGATAGTGATATGGTTCCAATGGTGAATTTAGTTAAATTTATGATGTTTGTTATCGGTTTTTTATGATGGCAATGGTTGTGGGAAGATTCCGGTGGTGAATTTGATTATGGTTTGTGAAAATCTATGGTGGTGGAGAAGTGAATTTGATGATAATAGCAAACAATGGTAGTGATTTAATGGTGGGTTTGATGGTGTATAAGCGAAGAAGAAGAAATTAAGTGACATGGATTATTTTTTTTAAAAATCTCACGTAATTATTGATGTGGCAGTGAATGGTGATGATGTGACGCGAGTGTGAAACACATGCACTTTCTCATCATGTGACTGGTCGTATGTGCTTCAGAGTTGAAATAAATTCACTTTTAAGTAATTCAGGTGTGTAATAGGTCGTCACAATACTATAAGCGTGTAACTAACTTTTGTGACAAGTTTAGGGGGGAATTTATGCATAGGGTCAAGTATGATACAAGAGATTTGTGTTTTATGCTACTAGTTTTAAGTGTACGTGTGAAATACGTCTTATCAAATGTGTACCGGGAGAACAAATATTGGAAAATAAAATTTTAACTTTAAATCAAATACAATATTTTGTTTAAATGATGAAAATAAATCAAATTATTACATTAACATAATAATTGAATTTTTATCTCTGACATGTAAAGATGATGAATTTGCTGGAAATTACACAAGGTGTCTCCCAATTGTGTAGTATTGATTTTTTGTCCCTAGTAAGAGAAGTCTTTAAAAATATGGTCTTCCTTGCCTTTTTAAATGGAAAAGGTCTTTGGGACAACATATTACCTTCAAAATGAGTCTTCCACACTGCCCCGATGACCCCAACATGAAGCCTTGACAAATCCCGATCCAATGCAACTAAAAACATTTCATAGCTTGAGTTATCGAATTTTTGGAATTAAGGTTGAATTCTAACCTGATCTTTATTTAAAAGACCAATAAATTGACTTCCACAAACGCGGGCCCAAGGCCGCGATCATAGTGGTCAACAGGGTCAGGTCACCCTTCTTTGTGAATGTGGAAGGGACCCCGAGAAAGCGTTGGCATCAAAAATTTATTGCTTCCAAATGTACACACAAGTGTACGTGGTCAAACAAGTAATATAGTGACTCTTAAGAACCATATTATGAAACCCAAATGACTTACGATTAACAAATATACAATTTCACTTGTAACTATCATCAAACGCAAGTGTGTAGAAAGGGTTTAATTGGTGTATTAGACTGAAAGTATAGTAATTAAAGTAACTGAATGAACTAGCACTGATTCAATTTTACTTGGGGTTTTACAAATGACTTGGAAAATCCAAGGTTGTAGCTTTAACAAGAAATCATGCATAATATCCTTCACTTCAGAATCCAAATGGTTAGTGAGTTGTTGATTTACAAGGCTAATGGGTGTTCACGGTTTGGATAAAAACCGATCCAAATCGAAAAACTAAACCAAACCGATTAAATAAATTGATTTTTATTTGGGTTAGGTGTGGTTTGGTTTTAGATTTTAAAAAATCGATAGTATATGGGTTGGTTATGGTTTTGTTCGAAAAAAAACCGAAGAAATAACCGAACCGACAAATTATATACATATTTTATTATTATACATGCATAATATATTATTTTTATAAACAATTTTAAAGATCTTATATGTGTTTTCATCAAAATTTATTTATAATTTACTTATAAAAGAAAAAATTCCCAAGGTGGAATATTTATCTTATTGGTTTTATGTACATGAATGTGTCTATGACAATTCTTTATAAGATTGAAAATATCACCGTCTCTTTCTTCTAGGCCAAAATGATGAGTTTTGAAGTTTTATTCATAGTAAATTCAATGATTGAAAGTTATGTAATGTCAGTCATTCTAACTATTTTCGTTTTAAATGGATTGTTGTCACTTTTTGAATGAATTGTTTCTTTTATTTTTGTCTATGGTTAATAACCGAATAACCAAACCAAACTGAACCGAAACCGATAACAACCAAACCGATAAATATATACTATATTTGGTTTGGTTTGGTTTTGATAATTGTAAAACCAATTAAGTTGGTTTTTACCAATAACCGATCCAAACCTACCCGTGAACACCCCTAGTTAATAATATGATCATGATCTTTCGACCTCTAATGACCTACCACAATTGACAATCTAACTATATCGTTGAGCGGAGATATATTGAATCAAGTAAAAGCTAATGATAACACTAGCTAAGTCTAAAGGCGTTACAAAATTGAAACGCTTGACCCTTGACTCGA